CTCAAACGTAATATCTGGATCTCTCACTCTATCTGTAAACGAATTAAACCTGTCAGCAAAAATAAACAAAACTTATTGAAACTTTCGGTTTCGCACATGAAGGGGAAATGAGTTAAAAACGCAAACAAGGCTATCTCTCGATCTCTATAGAGGTCAAAGGAGAAAACTGTATTTCCATAGCGCCCTGTAATATGCCCCCTAGCACCTCCTAGTGTGTGTAAAGAGAATTCACTAACCATGGAAAAGACAACAACGAACAGGGAGGGGCCGGGCCCATTATGTTTTTCTTTGAATACAGTACAGAAAATTGTAAGCAGTCATCGGCCGTGATAGAAACGTTGACGTGCGATCACTGTTTCATTTCAGCTGGGCAAGAGAAAGAGAAAAGGAGCAAGAGGAAGTGTGTGTATGGTGTCTCGTCGTTCTCTATGCCATCAGTCCTACATTTGCATCGATGCTCATCAGTGCAGTCTCAGACCCAATCTAATGAAGCTACTCCACTCTATAGCTGAGAAACACTGAGGCCCCTTGGGCCAACGTAAGCCCAGGAGTGTTGAGCTAGACCCTCTTATAGTTCATTGTCTGGTATGCCTTTGTGCTGCTGCATCGTTCTAGAGTATATCGCTGAAAGTGGAAATATAGAAAAGGCTGCTGGCGGCAGCACGGAGCAATCCGCAAGTGAGTAAGTGGCTTAGCTTACGGTTTCTGCATCAATACACACAGAATGAAGAAGCAGATGAATGCTGCAAAGGAGTACAACAAACAGAATCACAGTTAACGCACAAGACTGTCGCACCGCAGAGAAGCGTGCACTGTCATGCATTTTCTCTTCCTTTTGGCTTTCTCCAGGCAGTGTATCAACACAGGTGTATAGAGAACAAAACAAGGTTTCGTTTTCTCGCCCCCAGCACCCCCAAAAGGCCTCATAGGTGGGCCAATGGTCTGCTCCTGCGGGGCCGAGGGAACGCACCAGTGGTTCTTGCTTGCAGCAGCAAGTCTGTGAATACAGTTGCTTTAGGGGCGTTACAGAAGCGACCGCCTGTGCTTCAAGGGGTGCCGCAGTAGCATGCTAGAGGAGACGATACATACAGCAGCAACTAGTGCTGTTGCTGCTTCTATATATTCATAGACTGTTGTGATTGCTGATGTATATGTAAAATTATGCTGCTGGCTCTATAAATTGCTTCGCTGCTGCTGCTGCTGCTGAGGGTTGCGGTGAGGGAAAGCGGGGGTCTTGCTGCTACTGCTGTTGATCCTGCTACTAC